CCCACACCCTTTCGAATTAGAACTAACTTTCAGTTCAGCGAAATAAGCAATCTTCTGAAAAATCATTGGGGCTTGTAAAGACTTCATTAAGACTCCATGGTGCCCGAGATTGTATTGTCTATGGTGTTGATGGATGCTGTGCAGATGTCAGGCAAAATTCTGCTTTTGTCTTTTCATCTAAAAATTTATCGTTCGTTTTTCCGTGTTTAACTTTAATTTAGATTCACCCTGTGCCGACATTTCAACTGCCAAGTTTAATTAGCGCCAATGTTTGCGCCCGAAGTCGCCTGTTTCTTTCTGCTCATAAAAATGCTTGCGGCAGTCTGGTACTTTTTCAGCACCGTCGACTTTCGGTCCTTTATCATTGTTTAGTTTTTGCATATGACCATTTTCTTGCTGAGACTGCTGAAGGGACACATTTGCCGACTGATTTTGCAGGCCATGTGTTTTTTTGACGCGTTGCATTTCTTCTGTGGACAGTCCTCTGCTTGGTGCAACCGTTTTATTGTAATGCATCGAATCCTTAACCTCGTTGTTCGCCTTCATCAGCATTTCAGTATTTCTGAGAGCCTCGGACGAGATTTTGATATTAACGCCGTTCCTCAAATCAAGTTTTCTTTTGCCATGTGTTCCCAGCGGTTTTTGGACGTTTCAGCTTCGTTCTGCACTCCGTGTGATTTGGCACGCTGCACTCGCAAAAGTTTCCAAAACATACTGCCAGCTCCTCGAATTACCAATGCTCGGCTGTAAATTTCCCGGTTTTGTCTGTTCGCTTACAAAATCAATTTTTTTTTTTTTTTTGATAAGTACCGACATTTATAAATACCGAGTTTAATGTACGCAAGTACATAGAAGCACACACATATAGACGCTGTAATTTGTAATAATGTTGTAAATGTGCAACACGTTGGTTCTGCAGAATTTGCTAACAAGTGGTATTGCTGCATGTCAAGCAAGGAAAGATAAACGGTAAGCAGCTAGTAGAATTTTTGTAGTTTTGAAAAAAAAAATTTTGACGTTCCTACTTCCACTGCTTACGTTATTTT